AGGGAACTAGCCAGCCCCTTTTGCCCTTCTACCTTCTGCCATATGAGGATAAAAAGAAAGCCTTGAGCAGACACAGAATCTGCTGGTGCCTTGATCTTGGACTTCCCAGCCTCCAGAATTATGAGAAATACATTTCTGTTCTTCATAAATTACTCGGTCACGGGCATTTCATTATAGCAGCAGAAACAGAGAAAGACAAATATCAAGTATTGCTCTCCACAGCTCGAGGGTCTTGACATCCCCTCAGCCCCTGCCCAAGCAAAGCCACCCTAGACAAACACACATTCTAAGTAAAATCTGGCTGTCATTCGTCCTGCAGATTCAACTCTGAAGCAGGTCCCCAGCCTCGGAGCCTCTGCTGAGCTGACCTTTCCCTCTGGCTTTAGGAGGCTTCCTGCTCTTCCTTGGGTCTCACCTCTGGCCACTGCCTCCTGGGGCCTCTGAAGGGGATGACTGGACAGGAGAGGAACAGCAGTCAGCATGCACTCACCTGTGCCTGCTCAGTCATCTGCCAGTTGGTATTCTACGGACTACACTGTCCCATGTTCACTGTTAAATATTCAGGTGGAGTTGGGTTTAGCAGCAGATTTCCACTTAATCTCCTTTGAGTGTTTCAGGCCCTCAGGAGAGCTCCTGGGATAACTCTGCTCTGGCTGCTACCCTCCTCAGTCTGTGTCTAGCCCTACCTCGTTGGTGGGGAGGGCTCCAGGCTCTAGCCCACCCCGGCCTCCCTCTGGATACCAGGGAGAGGGTGGAAGCCTTAACCAAGGTCAATGACACAAATGCAGATTTGGGAAGGGGATCAAATGATGCAAAAGCCTCAGAGAGACAGCTCTTGCCGTTCATGCTGTGTCCCAAGGATACACACATGAAGGATGGGGACACTCTATAGTGTTACTCTGACCCCTGCCTACCTCCACTTTCTGGATCCTAAAGAAGCTGTCAGAGGGGATGCCCTCAGCCTTTCCTAAAATCCCAGCAGGAAGATGACAGCAGCTCCGAAGAAAGAAGTGTCTGGGAAGGCACAGGGCCCAAGTAGCAATTAAGCATTTTTTGTGTGTCCATAGGGTGGCAGACTTCTTTCCACAAACGGAAGCGCTGTCCCTCTAAACCTGTTACTGAGTCTAACGTTTGGGGATAGCTGCAGAATGGTCCCCATCTGCTTTGAGGAGTGGCCTCTGAGTCTCCCATCTTTTCCACTTCAGGTCCCCACGCTGTCCCCATTTTAACCACTAGATGGTAGCAGACACCACCAGTTGGCGAGGAAAGTTTTGGCACCAAATAGGAGGTAAAGGCTGCATTTGAAGGTTTCCTCCCTATCTTGAAGCTATGTCAGTTTCACCTGTTTCTAATTTAATTTAATTTAATTCATTTTTCTTATAGGTACATTCTTATAAGTAAATTATTTTTATATTTATGAAGAACATATTCCTGAATGTAAATAATACTCACAAATGTATTCTTCTTAACCTCCCCAGCCTCTGCTGCCTCTGCCCTTTTGTCTCCAGTAACAGGAATGGGGACCAATGGGGACCAATTCTACATTCCTCAAAGTTCAGATGAGAAGAAGTGAGAATGGTCTTAGGCGTTATACTACATTTGATCAAAGAAGACGAGAACTCCCAAGCCAGTACCGAAGAATGTGAAACTAAGACACAGAAGACAAACACAATAAAAAATATACCTAAGAAATTGCAAAGGGGACAAAAACAAAAATAACAATAATTAGCACTGATGGACAGGCGTCTTGGCTCACTCCTGTAATCCCAGCACTTTGGCAGGCCAAGGCAGGCAGATCACTTGAGCCCATGAGTTCAAAACCAGCCTGGGAAAGAAAGCAAGACCCTATCTCTACAAAATAAAAATAAAAATAAAAATTAGGCAGGCTTGGCCAGGTACAGTGGTTCACACCTGTAATCCCAGCAGTTTGAGAATCCGAGGCAGGCAGATCACTTGAGGCCAGGAGTTCAATACCAGCCTGGGCAACATGGCTAAACCGCATCTCTACTAAAAATACAAAAATTATCTAGGCATGGTGGTGTGTGCCTGTAATCCCAGCTACTCGGGAAGCTGAGGCACAAGAATCACTGGAACTCAGGAGACAAAGGTTGCTATGAGCTGAGATCATGCCACCGCACTCCAGCATGGGCAAGAGCGAGACTCTGTCTCAAGAAAGAAAAATTAGCCAGGCTTACTGGCACAAAGCTATGGTCCTAGCCACTCAGAAGACTGAGGCCAGAGGATTGCTTGAGCCCAGGACATCGAGGCTGCGGTGAGCTATAACTGTGCCACTGCACTATAGCCTGGGTGACAGAGAAAGACCCCGTCCAAAAAAAAAAAAAAAAAATGCATTGACTCTTAACCTTTCCACTTGGTATGACATACAATTCCAAACTGTACATCAGGATTTGCATACTGGGCCAGGTGCAGTAACTCATGCCTGTAATCCCCTTGGGAGGCCAAGGCAAAAGGATTGCTTGAGCCCAGGAGTTTGAAACCAGCCTGGGCAGCATAGTAAGACACCATCTCTACAAAAAAAGAAAGAAAGAAAGAAAGGAAGAAAGAAAGAAAGAAAGAAAGAAAGAAAGAAAGAAAGAAAGAAAGAAAGAAAGAAAGAAAGAAAGAAAGAAAGAGGAAGGAAGGAAGGAAGGAAGGAAGGAAGGAAGGAAGGAAGGAAGGAAGGAAGGAAGGAAAGAGAGAAAGAAAGAAAGAAAATTAGCCAGTCATGGTGGCACGTGCTTGTAGTCCTAGCTACTTGGGAGGCTGAGGTGGGAGGATCATTTGAGCCCAGGAGTTCAAGGCTGCAGTGAGCTATGATCATGCTCCTGTACTCCAGCGTGAATGACAGAAAGAGACCCTCTCTCTCTTAAAAATAAGAAAAGAAAATATGAAAATGGGTCCAATTAGTAGGTTGGTGAAAAGTAATTGTGGTTTGCCATTACTTTTAATGTACCACCCTAATAGATTATGAGCAGCAATTGGCATGTTAGTGAGCACCACGGGGTGTCCTGGTGCCTGCAGCCGCCTTCACCTGCCCCCTGCTGCTCTGAGACAAGACGTTGCCTCATCCAGGATGGCTCTGCTTGCAGGGAGGGGCACAATTTAGAAAGGCTCCCACAAAAGTCCACCAGGCAGCAATCAATGGTACCTCGAGAAAAGCTATGACTATCAAAGGACAAGTCATGGTCAAAATGGAATCCTGGACATGGGAAGGAACTTTATATCCAAGGCCTGAGCCTGAAACCGAAGGAGAAAGAGATTCATGGGCTGCAAGAAGGCCCCAAGTCACCACAGCAGGTGACAATGTCCATAAAAGGAGACAAAAACAAAAAACAAAGAAAGGACCTTGTTGGGGGACTGGCCTGGCTTAAGTGGGTCCTGGAGTAAAGACTGTCCTGGGCATCCCCTAAGCAGGGAGGGTTGATGGATGGAGAACACAAGTAGAGCCAGCCTCAGAAACCATAGTCTTCCTGGAGGCTTCTGAGAAAGAGAATGGAACATGATGTGCTTTCCTATTCTATGTTACATTTTTCTGGACTAAAAATTGAGGAGCAGAGGAGACAGCGAGACCAGGAAGCTACATTTAGAGGAAGCTACCAGTCTCTAGGTTAGGATAGAGGGCTCACATCCTTGCCAGCTCCATTAGTAGTGTGAATTTCTTCACTCCAGGCACACAGTGGCCTGGTGGGGTCAAATATTTGACCTAAAACAAATGGGACCAAATTTCAAAAATGAAAGTTGCAGCTGGTCCCTGCTAAGCAATCTCAGCAATGGAGTCTTTCCAGCTCATGCCGGCTCACAGCCCCTTCCTGCCCCCAACCCTTCCGAGCAGCGCACCCCCTGCCCAGAGCCCACGAGGCTGCCTCTTATCCTTTCTTCAAAAGGACCCTGAAATCCATTCTCTCCAAAAAATAGACCCTGGCTGGGTGGGGGAGGGGAGGAATACCAGTCACATCCCTCCCCAACCTGGACACAACCTGGTCCTTGCCTTCCTCCCCAGGTGGCCACAGAGGCATAGGCCCTGGCTGAAACCGACAGCTGGGAACACCACGCCACACATCTCAGTTCAGTTTGTGCTTTTATTCTGAAGCCAGCAGGTTGGTGCGTAGTTGCCTTCCTGGTCTGAAATCAGTGCCCCTTTCAGCCCCTGCCCTGCTCCCCGTCCCTTGCTCCCACCCCAATCTGGACAGAGGACTGCCCTCCTCAAAGTCACCAACCTGCTCTCGGGGCTGATGCTTGGAAAGGAGCTGTTTAAGGAAACGCCCTAATTGCCTTCTAATATGTCAATATCAGATTAGATTGAACCACCACCAGTTGCATTTTAATGGAAAAGCTGTGGGAATTGGGGGCTTCAGTGGTTAACTGGTAAAGTGTGGTAAGAGGGGACCTCAGAGGCATGACAATTCTGGCAGAAGGTCACAGGCCACAGGCCACAGGCTGGCTGGGACCAGAGTCTTCAGGGGGCTGATTGACGTCCCTGGGGTCCCTACACCTGCCTTCGGGTGACTGTCCGCTGCCCTCTGGGAAGGGCCAGTCTTGAGTCTGTGGTCTAAAACTAAGGAGTTAACCAATCAAGGGAAGATGAACGACCCACAGATTGGTCCTCACAGACCACGTAAAGGACCTGAGGGTCAGGCCAGGACCTGGGACTCAGCAATGCACCCAAGAGCCTGTGCCCAGGAATGTCCAATTCAGACCGAGGGGTACATGTGGGGAGAGGGACAGGGCCCAGGAAGGAGAGCAGGCCCAGGAAGGGAGGGGAGGGGGAATGTCCTCTCTGCCATTTACCACCTCTCTGGCAGCCTAAGCAGGGAAGGGAACCAGGCTGGCCATCTCTCACACCACAGCTTCAAGCTGGGACATCGTCAGGCCAGCCTGGGGACCACGTCATGATGGGAGGTATGTCTCCCTGTGTGCATATGTGTGTACTAGGCAAGAGAGATCAAAGTGGTCAGCGTAGGGACTGGAAGAGTCACAGGAGCTGGGTTGCATGGCACAAATAAAAATCCAGGCAGTGCTGGGGAAAAGGATGGTGGGTATCCTGAGACCCGGCAAGCGCCTAAAAATTGATGTTCTTCAAGTCCATGGAGCAGCGGTACCTGCCGTCTGGGAACCTGGAGCACAGCAGGTTGGGTGAGCAAGGACAGGTATGGTGCTTGCGTTTCCTAAAGAAGGGGACCTAAGGAGAGAAGAAAGCAACACCTTCACCAAAGGGATGTTGGTGGGCCTCCTGGCAGCAGTCTCTGCTCAGTCCAGCGCTGGCAAATGTCTCCCCCCACACCCTACCCCACTTCTCCATTGCACCTAGCACAACAAGAATAGCAATTAGAGATGAGGAAACTGAGGTACAGTGTGGCTAAGCAATACGCCAAGATCACACAGCTAATTTGTGGAGGAGCTAGGATTTGCACCCAGGCTACCTGGCTCTGGAGACTCAGCACACATGTGCCTGCACACACACACATACACACACACACACACATGCACACACACGTCCATTGATTGAATGTTTGTTGCTCATCCATTATGGGCTCAACACCGTGGTGGGTGCTGCAAGTGCAGCAGCGAATAGGACAGCCGCCATCTCTGCCCTGACTCACATGCCAGAGGAGTGCTAAACCACTGGGGTATCCTCAGGGAGGAGTTAGGAGCATGGGCCCATTGTCAGACTGCCTGGGTTCAAATCCCAGGTCTACCACTTCCCAGCTGTGTGAAAATCAGCAAATCATTTGACCTCTCTGTGCCTCAGCTTTATCATTTGTAAAATGGGTTAATAACAGCACCTACCACATATGGTTATAAAGAGGTTAAAATGACAAAAAGCACCCAGTACGAAGGGTGGCATGCAGGAAGCATTCAGCATTAGTTTTTATTACCACTGTTGTCTTTATTGGGAATATGGATCTGGAGCTGAACCCCCTCACATTCCCCAAGATTACAAGGACTGCCACATTGTCCGGCCTCATTCACCACTCTCTAGCGCCTCTTCATCCTGGGACAGGAGGTTGGGCGGGGGCTGTGATTGGGAGAGAGACTGCTGGAGGATGCTCTGTACCCAGATGAGCACTGAGCCGGGGTGCAGGTAAGTCCCCGAAGAGCAGGAAACATGCCTGAGTCCAGGTGTAAGACAGCTGGTAAGCCTGAGAGCCTGTGCTCAGGAATGTCTAATTCAGACAGAGGGGTACATGTGGAGAGAGGGGCAAGGCCCAGGGAGGAGAGCAAGTCACCTGAGAGCCTGTGGAAATGCCCTAATTGCCCAGCCTGTCTAACAGCCTATGAGATCAGTGGCACCCCTCCACCTGAGGCTGCCCCTTCAAAAACAAGGCGGCAGCGCTCAACATCAGTGAGGTATAACTAGAGCTGGCGTTGGAAAACTGCAGTTCCAGTCCCAGCTCTGTCTTATTGGCTGTGTGCCTTGAGCCAGTCACGTGACTTGGCTTGTCTGTCAGTTTCTTCAGCATTGCCCAGGGTTGCTGTCAGGATTGAATTAAGATCAGTGATTCTCCAACCTGTGCTAGAAGTTTGTAGGTGGATCATGTCCGGCCTTGTACAAATAAATGTACAAATGTGTTATCTGCAGGGCACTAAGGTGGGTGCCTGTTGGTGGTGGGGACACAGCAACCCCATAGCCTTCTGCTTCCCCTTGGACATTCAGGGGCTGGATCAGGGCTGGATCAGCTGTCAGAGGAAGGTGAAGTCCTCTGGAGCCACAGCCTCCCTAGACTCCCTCTCTGGAGCCAGCCTCTCTAGCCTTCCCAGCTAGAGCAAGGCCCCAGGACGTCACCCTCTGCTCCCCGCATGGCCCACCCACATATGTGCACCCATGCAGTGTCTGCACAGTACCTTGTGGCTGCCAGGATGGCACTCCTCGCCTTCCCGCCCCAGCGGGGTACACATCCGCAGCCCTCGAAGCCACAGGCTGATGGCACAGCAGGTGCCTGCCCCACACTGGACATCCCGCTCACAGGCCTGCAGGTGGGAGAGAGAAGGGAACAGCCCATTAGTGCACCCAAGAGAAAGCAGAAGGGAAGGGTAGATTCAAAAAGCCCTTATCAGGATGGAATGGGAAGAGGCTGAGAGTGTCACCCCTGGCCTTAGCCTAACAGAACACCCTGGGCCACGCTTTATTGCCCTGCTCCCCTCATGGGGAGGCTCAGGGCTCAGGAGGGCATTGGATCTGGATCTGAGGAAATTTCCAAGCTCCTTGAGGCCGCTCAGAAGGAAGACAGTCCTCTTTTTCTGACAAGGCTGGGGGTTAGAAGGCATAGCTTTTCTAGGGCTAGTGGATGCTCAATGGATGCTGGTGGAACTGAATTAATTAGAATTCTCAGAGGTGGCAGGGACCCTGATGGCCCAAATTCCTGGGTGGTCAGCGCTGAGCTGCCTTGGACCAGGAGTCTCCAGCCCTGACCACGCTGTGGTCAGTGCCTCCCCTCTGCATGGAGGCACCCCCACCCTGGCCCTCAGAGGCCCAGCCTCAGCCGAGGGGCCAGCACCCCAGTGAACAGGTGCCTCTCCCAGGGTTTCTCTGCTGACTTCCCTGATCCCCAGAGAGGATCGCAGAACAGGGGCTGAGCGGCCCTGCCTGGTTTGGGAAAGGTGCCATTTGTAAAGAAGGCCACCTAAGCTCACATTAAATAAAAGCCAGGGCTGGGGAAGACAGAACTCTTTTTTTTTTTTTTTTTTTTTTTTTTTGAGATGGAGTCTCGCTCTGTCGCCCAGGCTGGAGTGCAGTGGCCGGATCTCAGCTCACTGCAAGCTCCGCCTCCCAGGTTTATGCCATTCTCCTGCCTCAGCCTCCCGAGTAGCTGGGACTACAGGCGCCCGCCACCTCGCCCGGCTAGTTTTTTTTTGTATTTTTTAGTAGAGATGGGGTTTCACCGTGCTAGCCAGGATGGTCTCGATCTCCTGACCTCGTGATCCGCCCGTCTCAGCCTCCCAAAGTGCTGGGATTACAGGCGTGAGCCACCGCGCCTGGCCGGAAGACAGAACTCTTAACTGCTCCAGACTCAGGTGGGGACCCGCTGAAGAAGCATCCACACTTTCCATTCTCAGAGATGCTATGTGGCTTTTCTGAGCTAAAATGCAAAGCTGGGTTTTGGATCACTATTCTCCAATAAAAGCCTATGGGCACCTTCAGGCTGCTGTGTGGGACGTGGCAGGACCTGGAAGCCCCTACTTGTTCAGACCCAAGAGGGAAAGAGTGGATGTCGGCTCCACTGATCATGCAGAGGAGTTACGGGTGGCGGGCACCCAGCTGTGCCTGTCTCCAGCCCAGCAAGGGCACATCTCACACCCAGCCAGGCCCCAAAAGCTCGGGGTTGGGGTAAAGGAAACCCCAGTTGATTCTTCTTCTCCCATAGAGGTGCGGCATTGCTGTCCCACTCTCGGAAGAAGAGTCATAAAGCCTTGGATGTGGGGACAGTTACAGTCCAGGGAGCAGGGGAGTGTAGAGGTGGTGGAGCCTGGGCTCCTGCTGAGAGTCAGAAGTGGGACACCAGCAGGACATGGAGGATGTGGGGAGCCTGGGGGTTCCTGACTTCCCCTTACTGTCCTGTTCTAACCCCTCATCTGTCTTTCCTGGGTAAGCCTAGGGAAATGCACTCTCTATTGTGCTTTTCACTGTGAAAATGTTTGCCGGCCGCTCTCAGATCTGCCTGCCCTGCTGCCTCTCTGGGCCAGTGCTGGAGCTGGCACGGGTGGTGAGGCAAGCCCAGCATCCAGGCCAACCGCGCTGCTCCTGCCCTCACTGCGCAGCAGCCGGGGCTTCTCTCCATTGTTCTTGCCCTCTCAGAATTTCAAGCTACCCCATAGAAGGGCAGCCCACAGTGTAAACACTTCATTAGGTGTAATTCTGCCTTCACGAATATTTTTATTTTTGCTTTGGATCTCAAAAGCATTTGGCTTGCCTTTAATATTTGTTCTTTTGAACTCAGTCTTTTTCCTTTAAAAGAGAAAAGAAAGAATTTGTCCTTTCGGTGAATAGTAAAATTAACCCAATTCCAGGAATTGTTTGGCATTTCTCTACATTTCCCTTATCCATGTAAAAAGCTGGTGGAGGCTGAACTAAAAGTTAGTTTCCCTGCTCCCCCCGACCTTTTTTTCCCAGTGGCTTTTATATGGAAAGCTCTCAGGTAAAGCATTGCTTTCTGCTTCAATAAGAATGGTCCTGCTACCATAACACATCATGCGCCCCTATTTGAAGGTGGTTCGAGGTAAAGGCAAACTTCCGAGAGAAAACTGTGATCTGAATATTTTGAACCAATTGAACAGTGCCCACATGCTGAACCTCTGCTTTGAGACTGGATTTCTACTTGTTATCTGAACGCTTGCTTTGGGGTACACTCAGAATGTTAGTGTCACCCATATTCCTCTCAGAACTAACTGGGCAGGCACACAGTGAAAGAGTTTCAAAGATACCCTTTCTAAGCAGAGGTTAAATTTATACAATAGAAGTTTATAAGCTTACCACGTTTAATTAAGCTTACTGCCTTTAATTAAGTCAACATGCTATGTAAATTAATATTAATATTAATATGTGAACTAGACCATAAATAAAAATTAAAATTCACACAAAAGATAAATTAAGGTTTGCCAATCCACTTTGTAAAGGAATTCCTTATTACATAATAGGAATCTTCATTTTACCAAAGGACTGAACTTCAAAATATTCAATGCTCTACTAATGCATTTAAAACAGGATTTGATTCATACACAGCTTCTCAAAAGCAGATCCCATTTAGTAGAGTGAGGTCTAACTAGTCTGAAAATCGCATGCAATCCCTCTCTAAAGTGCTGTCTAATGCATAACTCCCCATTCCCTTTGGTTCACAGTGTGTGGAGCCAACAGAGCCTCCTGCATGGTTCCTGGGCTCACAACCCATGCAGACCCTGACATCTTCCCAAAACCCAGGGCACAGAGAATGTTAGGCGACTTACCCCTGTGATCACAGCACAGTCAGACACAGTTACTAGGAGGAACATGATTGAGACTTGCATGGCACCTCTCATGGTCACTTGGGGTGAAGATAAAACACTGCCTGCTTGGATGCCTCTCGCTTCCTCCTGCTCAGCCTTGTGCCGGGCAAGCTGGGAAGGCCAGGCTCTCCTGCATCCCCCGCCTCCTCCCAGATGTTTATACTCAGGATCCAGGGCTGCCTGTGGATGCCTCATCTCTGCTTTTCCCTTCTCCAACACCGATGTTACTCAGATGATCTCAGAAGCGAAGATGAGACCTGAATCTCTAACAACATCAAATCAACATCAAAACCAATAAAAATGGATACTTCGTGGGCTCTGACGGTTGCTCTAACTCTCCCAAGAACGCAGTGATTCAGACAGTTATGTACATTTCACTCGATGTTCTTTTCTGCCTCTGGGTATCCTTCTATCCTACTTGGGGCAGAGGAAAGGCTCTGGTAATGAATTAAGGGATTTGCAGCATAACCATTTATCCTTCCCTGCACCAAACTATGCAACATACAGGATTATTGGTTCCCTCACACTCACACCAAGAATTATCTAGGCATTTACCATGGGCTCAACACAGAGGTAGCTGAGAAGACAGAAGAGGGTGAGGCGGTATCTTTATTTCTCTAAAAGGTTAAAATTACAGTGAGGAGACATAAGACAGTGAGGAAAAAAAGACCAGGGTTGTGAGGCTGATACTCCTAAGTGACACACACATAAGGATTTGCTCTCTCACGGGCTCAGGATGAACACCAGCACATGTCCCTTGGTACAATGACCTAAGGGCAGAAAGCCAGCACAGGCACACACTCTCCCAGTACCCTGCAGAGCCGAGTTGGTATGGGCTGTGGCTGAAAGGTACTAGAGCCACACCACTGGCCTTCCAGGTTTTGGGGTGAGCATGAGAGGGGCCTTATCTGTGAGTGTACAAACACAGTGGGCTCAGATGTCAGTCTGGTGGGAAGTTGACTTTGGGGAGGGCCCCTCCTCCTGCGAAAGCCCCTGACCCCAGCCCTCTCTCTGTCTCAGAGCACCCCGAGAGAACTCCCAGTCCTTTGTCAGATGATCTGCCTTCTCTCCACAATAATAAAAACCAACATTTCCCAAGGTAGGTGTTGCAATATGTTAATACACAAATAAACAAATAAAAGACGACTACAGTCAAAAATTTGGGAAACACAAACCAGCTTGGTTTTTGCAGAACTTTTCAGGGCCTTTCATAAGCTAACAAGTGTTTGAAACACCAAGTGGGAAACGCAGTTTGTAGTATTTCACAAACAGATTCATCCGCAAAACTTTTCTCGTCAAGTGTCACATGGGTGTAGGGTTTCCACATAGAAATGTTGACAGGCATTTATGAGTGCAGAGAAGACGACTAACTAGCACGGGGGCCAGGAGCTAAGCTCCCAGAGGCAGCTACTTTGACTTCAGATCGACGGCTTCATGACCTTGAAAATATTGCTAATCTCTCCAAGCCTCAGTTTTCCTACCTATAACATGGCGGTAAGAATAGCATTTACATCATAAGATATTGTGAGTATTCATCTATTTATTTACTCGTTGACTATATTTATTGAGAACCTACTGTATTAAAGGCACTGTTCTCAGCACTGGGAATACAGCGGTGAGCAAAACAAAACCCTGTCCTCATGTAGTTTCGACTCTAGTCAAGGAGACGGGTGATAGACAAATAAACAGATTTGTAATAAAACAGCCAGTTTTGCTAAGCACTGTTATAAAGGAAGGCAGGGGGCCAGGCGCAGTGGCTCAAGCTTGTAATCCCAGCACTTTGGGTTAGAAGGTAGAGGCAGGTGGCTCACTTGAGGTCAGGAGTTCAAGACCAGCCTGGTCAACATGGTGAAACCCCGTCTCTAGGAAAAATACAAAAATTAGCCGGCTGTGGTGGCTCACGCCTGTAATCCCAGCTACTCAGGAGGCTGAGGCAAGAGAATCACTTGAACCTGGGAGGCAGAGGTTGCAGTAAGCCGAGATCATGCCATTGTACTCCAGCCTGGGCAACAAAACAAGACTCCATCTCAAAAAAAAAAAAAAAAAAAAAAAGGCAGGGAAGGCCACAGACTTTGACAAGGGGTGTTATTTTAGATGTGGTAAGGGTCTCTCTGAGAAGGCACTTGTGTAGATTACTGATAAAGTGGAGGAGTGAGCTGGACAGAGCCTGGAGAAAAAGTCAGTGCAAAGCCCTATGGCAAGGCTTCTTGGCCAGTTGCAGGAGAAGCAAAGAGCAAGGTGACCCAGGGGACAGGATGGGAGGGGATGCAGTTGGAGCAGGAGCCAAAGGCCAAATCCAGCCTGCCTGGTGGGACATGGCAGGAACCTGACTCCAAGTGTGATGGAATGCTTGGAGAGTTTGGAACAGGGGAGAGGCAGGATCTGATATACACTTAGATTTTTTTTAGAGACAAGGTCTTGCTCTGTTACCCAGGTTGGAGTGCAATTGTGGCTCACTGCAGCCTGGAACTCCTGGACTCAAGCGATCCTCCTGCCTCAGCCTCCTGAATAGCTAGGACTGTAGACACACATCACAGCACCTGGCCTGATTCACACCTTGAAAGGATCCCTCTGACTGCAGGTGGAGAGTTAAGTGAGATGATGCATGTAAAGTGCTTACCACAATGCCCAGCACACAGCAGCATTTGCAACCAACTGACAATTTTTACTATAAACATATGAACTTGTATGCTTTAATATAAAATTCTCCTGGGAGGTGAGAATCAAAATAATGAGTCTGTAAGGCCCACCTGTTCACTGTGACACTGGGCTGGGCTGGTGACAGAAGAACCAAGAGACCACCCCAGCCTTGGAGAACCTTCCACTCTGGGAGAAAAGCTACCTAGGAAGGAGGCAGCGCTTTGCTGGGGGCTTGGAACACCTTACAGAAGTGGTCCTGTGGGCTCTGCTTGCCCTGCACACACTACCCCACATCACAAGCTCGCCTTCCAAGAGACAATGTTAGATCATGTGATTCTCAGGCTAACACCCGTCCCATTCACTCCCCATTCTCACTCCCTCCCTCACTCCCCGCTGCCCCAAACACACAAAACTCATCATCTCACAACTGCAGTGAAGAATGGTAGCCAGAAATGTTGTTGCAAAACAAAACCAAGAACATTGATTAAAAACATTTTATTTCTCTTGAATGCTAGTGCTTGAGGAAAAGCCAGTTTAATTAGAGGAGGGCAAGGGATAGACGGCAACTTGGTGGAAATCCCAGAAGAGACTCTGGGGAGCTCCAGGGATAAGCAGTACTGGTTCTTTATTCAATAACTTAATTACACATTCATTCAGTTCCTTCCATGTGTCAGGACCAGGAGCTCGTGCTTCTAGGGTCTAATTTCCCTCTAGACCTTAGAGCTCTCCTGTTCCCACGTCTAGGCGGATTTCAACAGTACTTGACTCTTTTTAGCCACAGTTAGGACTACTTTTTGGCTGACAGATGTGGTGTGGAAAAGGAGAGTGGACAGAAGAGGAAAACCCTGAACTAAGCAAACAGAAACTGGAGGAAATAAAGGAGGGAAGTCGGAGGGGAAGTGAATCAAGAAGCGAGTGGTAAAACATGGAAGGTAAACGGTGAAAGTGCTAAAAATGGACTTGGCTCCCCTGAGGGAGGGGAGAGCTAGTGGAGATGTGCCAGGCAAGTCTTTCCCAGACTCCTACACACCTTCGGAGAGAAAAAGGGCAGGTGGGCAGCATGCCATTGAGTGTCTGTGTAAGAGGGCTACGTGCAGGTCACATCTCATAACTTAAGCCTGGCCCTTATTTCTCTGTTTTAGCTGATGTCAGTGTCACCATGGACCATTTATACAGACGTGTGTGTGCGCGCATGTAGCAACAGCCAATCTCAAGGCCTACCCTGAGGGGCCCTTCAAGATGTAGGGTGACTTCTCATGGAGTGAGACTGTGGAGTAGAATATTCCCTGACCTGGCATAGTCCCCTGAGACTGTTTACCTTCAGGCATAGAATAAGTCTCACCCAAGCATGGGGGAGAGGTTGAGAGGCCTCTTTCAACTCTACCTTAAGATCATGGTTATTGTTCTGTAAGCTAGAAAGGGCGCCCATATCCAGGGGCCTCCTTGCTCCTGACTGAATGGGCGGATCTTGTGTTAATGTTTGAGTACGTGTGTTAAAATATGCTCCCTTTGGCTGGGTGCAGTGGCTCATGCCTGTAATCTCAGCACTTTGGGAAGCCGAGGCAAGTGGATCACCTGAGGTCAGGAGTTCGAGACGAGCCTGGCCATCATGGTGAAACCCCATCTGTACTAAAAATACAAAAATTAGCCGGGCATGGTGACATGTGCCTGTAATCCCAGCTACTCGGGAGGCTGAGGCAGGAGAATTCCTTGAACCTGGGAGGCGGAGGTTGCAGTGAGCCGAGATTGCACCTCTGCCTGGGTGACAGAGTGAGACTGTCTCAAAGAAAAAAAAAATGCTCCCTTTATTACTGGTTTGTTGCTAATAATTAAACAAGAATTAACTCTGATCCATTTCAAAAAGAGATGAAGAAAGGAATAATAGAATAAAGGAAACCCAAGCATACAGGCTGGGGGTTGTTAACTTGGAGTCACAGCCCCCGAGGAGTTCATGAGCAGAATTCAGAGAATCCATAAACTTGGTAGACAGAAAAATTGCATCTTAATGTTCACTAACTTCTAACTGAATTTTTAACAATTTCTTTGGACCGTAGGCCACAAACTATAAAAGTTTTAACAGTACTGTGATTTTGTTGCCAGGAGAAATTACAGATGTTTTTATGTCGTATTACTATTGCTGCAAATAGCTCCAAATATCATTCCTGCTCATCACTACCTTGAAATCACTATAGTTATTTGGCCCCTTGCTAGATTGTTACTTGATCCATCAATAAAGAAGTGCATGTATTACCATGTCACTAATTTGTTTTTAATAAATATCTTAACTTTATTTTAATAAACTTGATATTCTTTATAATCTTACATATTGTATTTTATACATTTGAAGACTCTATTCTGAGCCATAGGCTAAAAGGGGCTACAGCACAATAGCCAAGAACTCCGGGGGGTAAACTCTGGAGACTTGGAGCAAAGGAAAGACGTGGCTTA